TTTCTAATTCCACTTGTTAAGAACAGTTGTCGCATATATAAAATTTTATAGATTACATTCTGCTGTACTGCATGTACCATAAAAATACATTATTCTTATTCAATCGAGAATGAAAATATTGTTTCGAATTTCTATTTGCAATTGAAATGCTTGTGGACAAAATGGAAATCAATTCCCGATAATGAAATTGAATATATTTCCCATGGAAATTGATAGGCAGGATACATTCACATTGCTATGTCCAATGCGTTAAGGTAATAAAATTACTATTAACAATGTGAATACCAATTCTGATAATGAAAACTATTCTATTAAAATTATGTCAACTAGAATGAAAAATAAGTAACATTGAAATGGAACATTCAGTCCATGTCGAATAAAAAATAAAACGGCGTTCCATACACTAATGTCATCTGCAGATGCACATACCGAAGAAATCACTTTCGTCAGAACTATGAGATTTAAGAGGAAATAATCATTATATAATACGATGAGCAGATGAGTGATATTTTCTCGGATATTTTTGAAGAAGTTTCATGCCCTCAAGTTATACAGGGTGGCTGAAAATGATTTTTCAATTCGTAACTTTTGGAAGTGATTTTTGTCGAGTTTTTCAAATGGAACACCCCATATATTTTTTGAACATTTGATGTAAAATTAAAACACGAACATAGTTTATCTCAACATCCATATTGATTTTCGTAACCATTTTCAAATTATTGAACGTTTAAAATTATAGGTTGGCCATTTTCATCGATACACATTCACATTCTTATCTGTAATCAAAACATCAGAAGTCCAATTATTAATTTGGTAAACCAATTTTTTCAAAGGAAGAATTGATACCAGAATCAAAGCAAACAGAAAACACAATTTACATTTCTCAAGTATCCCACAAATTCATGGCACATTGAAAACAAAACCAGGATAATTGAGGAATGGAATTTTATCTTCCTCAACACTGTAAATTCTAGCATAATTATCGAGTTAATTATGAACCGTTATGAACTATTTCTGTTTGGTTTGATTCTGATATAAATTCTATAAATACGAAAATTGAACTTTTGGTGTTTTAATGACAGATACGAAGGTGTATCGATGAAAATGGCGAACCCTCGGACCAACCTAAAATTTTCAAAGTTCAATAATTCAAAAATATTTAGGAATATGCTCGGGAATATCCGAGGGAATATCAATATGGATGTTGAGACAAAATATGTGTTACATGTTATGATTTCACATCAAAATGCCAACATATGTAAAAAGTTTTTCCTCGAGTTTTTCATTCAAAAAACTCGAGAAAAATCACTTCGAAAAGTTCCAAATTTAAAAACTATTTTGAGCCACCCTGTATAATTTGAGGGCATGCAAATTCTTCATAAATGTCACTCATCTTTTTATCAAATGATCTTAAGATTATTTTATTTTGAATTTCATAATTGTGTCGACAGTGATTTTTTCGGTATGCATCTGCAGATGACATTATTTCGACCAAATTATTCATAACTTTGTTATGATCAAGATATAATAGGAATAGATGAAGATCAAACGAATGCTTAAAAAAATGTGCAAATAGACAGGCCATTCCATTAAAAAAATATATCCTGACCATCTACATTTTTTTCGGTCCGCCCTGTACATGCGGCAATAATTTCTAGTTATGGACCGTGTCTCATTCACATTCGTTTATAAAACTTGAGCAAGCGAGCTCCGACGCACTAATGCCCCACCTTGTATTATATTTCAAATGATTTCAAATATGTTCACAATCATGTTCACCAAATGTATGCTCTACTGCAGATTTCGATCGGGATCGATGGGTTTTCATCAAATCAATATGTTGTTGCTTAAAATCGAGTCAGAGCGTATTTTCACAAGACGCGTTTGGTCAAAATGTTAGTTCGTCTCCAAAGGCACCAAAAATAAAAGCGGAAAAGAGATGCCAATGTACTGTTATTTTCTCGGTTATTTTCCAGAATATTGGCGATGTTTTATTCAGATGACGCTTTCCTCCAATGAACATTATGCAAATAAATGACGACTAGTCGGTTCATTAACTGATCCAATTCAGGTATTTTTTTTTCTCCGATTGGCAGCAAATATTAATTTTGCAGACACATATCAATCAGCAAAGTATTACTTTTCCTGCCTAGGCAGCAAAGTGGTTACTTTGCTGATTGATGTGTGTCAGCAAAATGATATAATTATGTTCAACTCAGCAGCAAAGTAGATTGATTGCGAGATTGATTGCCTTAGCTGGATTCCGAGCTGGATTCCTAGCCTCGCTACGCTCGGCTATGAATTCAGCCTCGGCAGTCAATCTACTACTTTGCTGCCTAGTTAAACAAATAACTATTGTCCCTCTGTTATGTGATGTGCGACTCATTGTCGATAGCCGAGTGGATAGCCTTGACCACATCTAAAGAAACAATTTCAATTCAATTTTTTTCGAAAGAATTAGGTACATTTGACTTGAAAGTTTGCACTTGTTTTGACTTGTTTTTGTTGAACTTGGATATGTAGGAATATACTGGGTGTTTCATTTGAAAAAACAAGTATTCTAAAATAAGATTATTTGAACGTTGTCAGAATATTGATAGAATATTTATTCCATACTGTCTGGGCAGCTATTTATTTGCTTCTATTATTCCGGACATACTTCCGTCATGTGATAACGAGTTGAAACCTCGGTTGAAACAAGAAGCAAATAAAAGGAGATGATGTCGCCTTTGCGAATATCCAAACGTGCCGCGATTCAAACTGATCCAAGTTAGTAGCAGAGCGTCAATACTTCCGAGAATATTTCGCCCCCCTTTGGAGATGATTTCCGATGGACCAGTGTAAAACCATTGATTATATACACTCCTCGATACACTCTCAATGGTAAAACTCAACGTGTGGATTAGAACACTGTAGTGTGAGCACCACATGAGTTTCACACTGGTCCATCGGATAATATCTTTCGACGAGGGCGAAATATTCACGGAAATATTGACGCTCTGCCACTAATTTAGATCAGTTTGAATCGCGGCACGATTGGATATTCGCTCAGACATTCGCAAAAGGAACATTTTTCCATTTCATTCGCTTTTTGTTTCAACTCGTTATCACATGACGGAAATATGTCCGGAATAATAGGAGCCAATATATCGCAGTGCCGTGGATTTGGCTCAGACTGAGAGGTGGCACAGGTAGATTTTTGAGATGTACCATTCATTCAATTCGATTCAATTGGTATCGGATGGCATAGTTCATATCTCGTTATCAAATCGCGAAATCGAGTGCACATTTCCGCACAGGAAAGTGCAATTTTTCAATCATTTCGCTCCGGATAGTGATTTGCACAGAGGTGCCGTTCGGTGAACTACAATGTTTTTCTTTGGGACATACCTATATACCTATTTCGTTATCAGATGACGGTATAAATCTGCAGCCGACTCTCCTGCCACTATCTATACGTATTTAAAAATATTAAACTAGGTAGGTACACGAAAAAAAAGGATTTGTTGCATCAACAAATTATTCATGCTTGAGTTATTTTTGTTGGACTGAGCAATTTTTTGTTGAATCAACCAGATATATACATGATTATTCCATGGAAGCAGCTTGTTCAAATCAAGAATGTAGGCTAATTTAATCAACAGTATAATACTCGTTATAATATCAATTCAATTAACAAAATATATGGTTTCTTGAAAAACAAATTATGTCGATCCAAAATAATGTCGATGTTGATTCAACTATGAACATTTCGTTGATTTGATCAAACAATGATCATTTTGATGACATTATATCTTTGAAACAACATACTATAGTTTTCTTATTCCGATGTAGCAATAAACTCGTTTCGAACGGATCATTTGCCTGAATAGAGCAAAGAAATATGTACATACATACATCAACTTAACAATTTTCGCCTCTAGATGGCGATCATTTCGCCTCGTCTATGCCTGCCTCGAATTCATTATATACGTGAAGCCTGATTCTTCGTGATTGAAATATCAGCTGGATAAATCGAACTTAGGATGATTAGCAATCCGAAATAGTTTTCCATCAGTTAAGGAGAAGTAAAGACTTGAGATCTATGCTGGGAGTCGACTAGTTTTCTAGTTTTGTTTATTTTATTGATGTGAAATTTCAGAAAATTTCCGAATATTGAATTTGGTTCAACAAAACAATTTGTCGAATAGATATATATTTTCTCTTGAATCAACAAAATATTTTATTGATTCAACCAAATATATCTTTGAATCAACCAAATATTTCGTTGAATCAACTAAATATTTGATTGAATCAATATCTTTTTATTTTGAATCAAACAAAATGATTGTTTGAGCCAATTCAATATCTCTTCATAAACAATTCATGGATGTGCTTGATCGAAGAAGATCCAGAGTTCATGCAAGACATATTCACTTGATTCAAACTCCAAATTCGCTCTGGAACAAGATATAGATTTACTCATTTCAAGATAATATTTTGTCGTGCATATATGACACTTTTATTTGCTCCATTCAATTAAATTTTGCTTGATTCAACAATTCCTTTTTTTCCGTGTGGTCATCCACGAGTCTCCACATCTCTACATCACTCAGTATAACAATATAAGCTATTCAAATTCAATAATCATTCCTTTATATAGGAACGCGAGTAGGAACGTATCGCGGAAATTACTACATACTATGAATGAAATGTATTAGGTATAATCTCACCTAGATCCTGAATGTTTGAATGTTATTGGATTATGAAAAATATATAGGTACCTACCTATATTGTAGATATCACTTATTTTGTCAGTCTAAACTATCACGCACATAATACCCATCCGGTAGGTTGATAGGTACTCGTACTCGTATATCACAACACCTCGTAGGTACTTAAATCGCTAAACAATGTCCTACAAAATTGTAAGACAAATTTTCGTGCAGAAGAAACACACCACCAACTGAATCGCATGAAATCGCGCTAGCAATTTATCCTAGGCGGGATGTGGTCCTATGTCAGACCACGCAATGCGACCAATGAAAATGCGGCGTGCGCGACTCGTGGTCCGAAAATGCCGCTGAAAACTCTTGTTCATCAGTCGGTCGATAGTCGATAGACAGACAGATTTGCGTGTTTAGATGTTTCACTTGGCCGTGCCGTGGCAGCGTGGCGACCTGCGAATCAAAACAAATGAAGATCAGGTTCGGAGACCTTCGACTGAGATGCTCTTCGACCTTGAAGAATACGATGTGTATGAGCAATCGGGCTAGCATTATGTCAACTATTACCTAATACATTGCTGTGGCCGGAACACTAATGGGTTGGTATAAAGAGATTCTTTTCTTCAGCTCTGTTCCACATGATTCATTCATATATACGAATCATATCAAGGGCGAAAGCACAAATTTTTACAGATTGATGCAATGATACACAATGAACTCAATATCATGACAATTTCTTTGAGGATTAGACATTTCGTATGACGTTGGCTAAAATTGTCTCGAAAATTTTGTGTCATATATTTTGAGTGTGAATAAATTCGGCTCAAAATTATCAAAGGTCAAAATTATCGTGATTTTATCAAATCAAATATAAAAACTCCTTGATCTCTTCGTCCATCCAAATCATTATTGATATTTCGACAAAGACAATCCATTCGCTTTGGAATTCTTTGCCAATGGAAGTATTTCGTAGAACTTATGACCTCCAGAAGTTTTGAAAAAATCCAACACCTACCTCCTCCTCATGTCCTCCCTGATGGTACGCGGGATGTTCCACGAACATTATAGGAATTTTCTTTCGTGACCTCCAAGAGATAAAAAATAATCGTTGAATGACAGTCAGTAATAATTGCTGCCGACAAATAGCACAAAACTCCTGACCCGTTCTAATGATCTAACGGAAAAATGGTCAATCTATAGTCACCTGCTCCAGAGCTCTCGTATACCTACTTCATTTCCAGTAGGTACCTATACAGGAGGTTGATCAAGAGTCCTGGAAGAGTACGAATGTAACCCATACAACACATGTGTAAGAAAAAGCACTTGTTAGACAGTAATTATTAAGATTTCACTTTATTCCCTTATTACTTCCTTCTTTTCTCCATCGACAAAATTCATAACATCTTATGGGCCCCACAAACGAATTCTTGGCTTCAATAACAATTTGTGTTATGGGTATTAACCCTAGTTTTATTGTCGCGAACAGGGACAGTTCGCATGATTTTCTCCTTTGGCCACGTCACTTTTGTTGTGCTGTAACTTGCTGTATTTGACCAGAGTTGGTACGAGTACTCTTGTAGCCAAAGGCACCAAAAGAGATCAGCTGATCTTAATTCGATACACCATTATTTTCGTAAATGAGAGGGGTTACCACTAGTAAAAAAGTGTTCCAAGCACCTCCGCATTCCATGCATTTCGTGACTATTTAATGTATTTCATTCATATCGAAATGCATTATTTCATCCATTTCAACCATTTCTAAATGCATTTTATTAATTTCGAAATGAATTTCATCCGATTTCATCCATTTTAAAATGCATTTCATCCATTTCCATACGTGATTGGTATAGGTATCTGAAGCATTTTATTCTGACATTTCATAACATTTTCCCATCATTCAAATGCATTCCAAGCCATTAGGTGACATATTTCACTACAATAGCATTTCAAACCATTATGTAATATTTTAAGCATTTCATCTCATTCTTTGACTTTGAAGGTATTTTGAAGCATTCCAAGGATTTCAGAACATTTCGTACTATTACCTTATAGCATTTCATTCAATTTCATATGATTTCAAAATATTTCAAAGCATTTCAATGCATTTCAAGGCATTACATCGCATTTCGTGGTATTTAATGCATTTCAAGGAATTCCAAGGAATTTCAAGGAATTTCATGCTATTTCAGAAATCGCATTTCATTTTATTTCATGTCATCACAAAATATTTCAAACTATTTCGAGGCATTTCATGGCATTTAAGGCATTTCATGGCATTGCAAGGAATTTCATGACATTTCAAGGAATTTCAAAGTTTTTCAAGGAGTTCAAGGCATTTCGTGACCTGTTACACGCATTTCCTCAGCGGTAACCCCCTCGTATCACATCACATACTACTCAAGTAACTGATGACTTCATTTCCAGTAGGTACCTACACTGAGAGAAAACTTGAGTTATCATAATTGGAAATCTGATAACCGTTATTACGATATCTGCAATAAATAGGGGACAGATGTGTTCATGTGCTACCATAGATGAAGTGAATTTTCAGGTGACTTGTAGTTATGGCAGCTTATTCAATTTGCAAACTTGTATAAAAACACCGCTGCTGAATAACTACTACTTGTTCTAGTTTCTATGATAACACAGAATGTCGAATAGGAATTATTCCCATAAAATGTTGCAGTAACTCTCCACTCTACAGTGGTTATTAGACTATCGACATAAAACAGCATGTTTCTATTACTGGCACAACCATCTTGAGGTAACGCAGTAATTCGTCTCATTTTATTATAGTTATCTGATATCTGCATGAAACCTGACATTTTGACATGCTATTGTAATGTAGCTCATTTTCAACAGTTATCCCAATATTTTTCTACTCTAGTATATTCATCAAACAGTGGTAATAAGGTTATCTAATCAACATTATTCGATGGTATGCATTATGAAACCGTGCTTTGAATTACTGCAATGAAAATAAATATCCTATCCACACTATCACTTTTCATGATCCAAGGTTATTGTTTTCAAAAAAACAAAAAAATACGTTCAGTCTCTGAATTGAAATATTGGGGTATCTGTGTAAGTTTTTTGACATTACTCATTGATTTCTTCGGAGAAATATCATCTATATGCATAACTGACGGATTTATTAAGAAATGAGAAGTTGAATACTTATATTTACCCTTCCTTCGGAGTTATGATGAGAATTGTCAATAAAACTTCCCTCACAGAAACCCAGATATTTTGATTCAGAATCTCATCGATCATTTTGTTTTTGAAATAAACCAATTGTAGCCCTTGAAAAGTGGGTATGGAGAATACTTTTTTCATTGCAATAATGCAATGCACGGTGTATTCCACAGATCGGTTCACAGTCAGCACTAAAACAAAACTTTGCTACATCACAGACATTCACCTACAAGACACGGCTCTATCGATTCGGACGATCGGAACCATTGAACAATAATTGAACACGGGCACCCATGACCGAGAACAGCAGAGAAATGAACGCGATCTGTATCTTTGCCAGCCTCAATACTAATGAAACACTAGAGCGAAATGAGCCGAATTACGATTGTCGAATGATTGCCTAATAACCGTCATACATGTGAATTGCTAGAGTTATTCGTCAACGTACAATGCTAGAAACTCAAACAGCTATGATTATTGGGACAAACATTATCTGAATTCGCCAATGAGCATAATTCACAAAACGAGCTATGTCAATAAAAAATCTAAATAGGCTGGAATTTATAAAATTCTCATAATGTCATAACACACATGCGTTATGATGGTAGCAAATGTCCATTCAAGGGTATTACAAATGATTTAAGAAATCGATTTTGATAATTACAGAATGGAGAGAATACTGTTGTAATAATAAAATGATCAGGAATAGGAGATTTCCTTATAATGGTTATTACAATCAGAGCTGGTAGATATTTTTAATATCCAGTTTCTCTCAGTGTATACAGGAGGTTGAGCAAGAGTCCTGGAAGAGTATGAATGTAACCCATACAACACAGGTGTTAGAAAAAGCACGTGTAAGACAGTAATAAGTTAGATTTGACTTTATTCACTCAGTACTTTCTTCTTTTTTTCATCGACAAAATTCATAACATCCGATATGGGCTCCACAAACGAATTCCTAGGCTTCAATAACAATTTGCGTTATGGGTCTTAGATAACCCTAGTTTTATTGTCGCGAACAGGAACAGTTCGCTTCATTTTCCCCATATTTTCCCCTTTGGCAAAGTCACTTTTGTTGTGCTGCCACTTGCTGTGTTTGACCAGAGTTAGTACGTATATTCTTGTAGCCAAAGGCACCAAAAGAGATCAGCTGATCTTGGTTCGATACACCATTATTTTCGTAAATGAAAATCCGATTCAGAAAAAATACCTGTCAATGCTTCGTCATCTATAGGGGATTCGACAATAAGATAACGTTTTCTTCTTCTGGACTCTATTGATTTGAAAGAATGGGCTTATATCACAAAATATTTTTATTCCATAATTCGATAGAACTCGCCCAAACTAGCTCACCACCGCAAACCGTTTCTTGCTGTGAGCTCCCTATACGTTTTATTAAAAATTATTGAAATCCCCGATTTTTCGGACCTCTGAAAACGAGGCGATGATGTGACGTCAAAACCCTAATACTGAAACAAGACTATTCCAGACAGAGATGAATGATACATGTTTTCTGACAGAGTGAATCAGCGCCAGATCACAGTTGAAAGAATTAATATAACAGTTGCCTCAGTCTCTGTCGGGCGTTTGGTATTTTCTTTTAACTATGGCGAGATGAGGTTTTTACGTCATAAGATGGTCCGTTTTCAGAAGGTACTATTATTTATGCCCAAAAATAAAACATTCCAGTTAATTTTTCGATCGAATTGTGTTGTCAATCATTATTCATGTATAAAAGGATCATTATAAACATGGTTTGAGTTAAAAGTTATACTGAGGTGTACACGCCCATTCTCAAAGAATTCCTGACAGTTCTTATCATCCTTCCATACACTTCTTGCATCTGACTGGCTGCTGGTGGACTTTTTGACTCTGAATATGTCGAACACAACAAAGCTGCAGGACCTGTTTGCATCAGTTTCTTCGAGGGCCAACTCCAATTCTTTCTCAGCTCAATTTTTTCCATCATCAGGGCATATCCTAAAAGAGCTTCCTCGTCTAGAAATTAATCGACGGATTGTCATTTCTTCAGAATCAGTAGTTGGAGACGAAGATAGCTCGATATGAATGGCTCTGGTAGACATATGACAGGTTTTTTTTGTTCCCATGAAAAGGGATATCCTGTAATGTTCAGAGAACATCGTGAGAACCAAGGGAAATGAGGTAGAAATTGGTGTTCTCCTTAAATTTCTGGAGGTTATATGCCTCGGGTAACACCTCCCTTGGCAATGTGAAAATCCTTCCATATTTTTTCCTTA